AAACCTTGGTTTTCACAAAATGTAGGGCTACATGTAGAGCTCTAACAATAAAGTTTCACTTAAAAGTAACAAAGCATAAAAAGATAAAGAAAACATTAAAAGACTCTTTAAATAAGTGAAAAAGCCCATGATTAAAAACCAACCAAAATCCAAAGAAAAATGGGCCTCATAAATCTCTACGAACTTATTTAACAATACTTAAAAAAAAAATATGACCTTACAATTAGAGGCTTTGTCACGTTATCTGGATTTCAAATTTTTTATTGTAAGCTCTTTATAATTGAAACAGCTGAAGAGTGAAACTGAGGAGACTCACAGGGAGAAAAAGCAATAATCACAATGTTAGACTTTCAGTGGTTGATAGGGTAGATATATTGAGCAAGGTAGATCTAGGTTAGCGATACCTACCCCCGCCGGAGTGTGGCACTGGTGATGGACTTCAGTCTGTAGAATGCAGCAATCCCTCACAACCAGCATGCATGCAGCGACAGTGGAGAGAAAAGCCTCCCTTTTAACAAAAAAAAAAGTTTTCAGGAGTTCCAGGGTTGGTGTTTGTGGCACTACTGTTGAGGTTGACTGGGGATTTCAAGAAGATAGTAGCAGAAACTAAAAAGGAACATAGAAGCACTGAGCCATATATGCTTTAAGCGTTAAAGAAGGTTAAAGTTAACTAGTTCCATAGGTGGTTATGTCTATTAGATGACTTAGATTATTGTACTGCAGGAGTTTTTTTTTTTTTTTTTTATTAGGCACAATCCATTGGTCAACATTCTTCTTGATGATTTTCTTTTTTTTATCTTATTTTTGTGTCCTGTTTTGCCAATATAGCTCTGGGAATAGATGTTCCTGAGCTGGACCATAGCCCATCAGCTTTCCTTTTACAAGCAGACCATTATGGCAGTTGCCCATAAGGTTCTGCTTGGTACTTGAATATAAAACTTTATTAAAATTTATTTTGGGAGTAAAACTGAATACAGTGGACATGGAGATAGAAAGAGAGGTGAGAAAGAAAGAGGGTATAAGAACTAAGGGGAGAGAGAAAGAGAGAGACAATAGAGAAAGCATGAATAGAGAAAAGCAAAAGAATAGAGAAAAGAGAAAAACAATACTGCAAAAACAGACAACACAGAAGATAACCAGTAACTCAGGGAGGTCTGCTTCCACACCTGAACGAGATGAGAGGGTAAGAAAACAGAAGATAACAACAGCAACAACAAAAAACAACAGAAAACAGCAAAAAAACAAAAACAAAAAAAAACAGACAACCTCAGACAACCAAATTGACATCAAAAAACTTAAAGAGCAGCAGGTAACCCTTAGATATTTATGTGTAGAAAGAGAAACCTATTGTGATTACACAATATTCTGGTGATATATGTCTGTAGTTGCAGCTAGGAATTTAGAATAGATGTGTATCTGTGAGCACTGGGAATCAAACTCCACTGGTATAAATGCATGAGCATGATCCTGTATAAAGAGTTTACAGAGCTTCTTCAGAAGGAAAATATGCTTAATAGCAGGTGTGGACAGTCCCAGACTCAGCCTACAGAGCCCAGGATAAATAAAGAGGCGATCCTGGCCCCAGATATCCAGAGGCACCCCAGATCACTGGGACACACGGTGGACAGACATATGTATGGCTGCTCCCACCAAAGAAGGGCAGAAGAAAGTGCCCAGAGTTCAACACCCGAGGAGCAAAACTCCAACTCCATAACTATGGCTGCCAGGCAGTCCAAACCTCTGGGCCAAGTACGGTTCACCAGCCACTAGAGCCCGAGCACCAGCCACCACCCAGTATCCCCCAAACGACTGCAGGCACAGACCGCACACAGGATCAGGGCAGGTACCAAGAATGGAGCCAAACCCTCAAAAGTCCCAGACTCCCACCCAATGCCATTCATTGGATGGATAATTCGTCGAAGCCATAGGATGGGAACCAAAGTCCATAAAGCCCAAGGCAATGACCAACGCCAAGGGCCCAGACTCATCCCCAGGCAGTGCGGGGTGAACACAGGTATGAAAGATACCATGCCAGCACCCCTCCTGTTCGGATGTAGTGTTGTTGCCTGTTGGACCACTGTGTATTTACAACCCTCCCCGAAACCTTAACTGTCTAAATGCATTCCAACAAATTAGCATCAGAAGCAAAGCCAGAATGGCTTACTCTCCTCCAGGGCCCCAAATCTGCCCTCTCTGATGCCCTACAAATGTATATCTTGGAAATGTTATAAATGATGCTGATTAGGGTGTGAAAATTTGGGCACAGGCTACTACCAGCATGGAAGGAGACACCCTGCTGATGGTCTCTTCTCTAGACTCATTTATGTGTGGTAGTGTGATAGAGCAGATGAGGGCAAGCATCAGAGATGGAGAGCAAAGAACTGGCCATCTCCCCTACTGAAACACATATACATACACACACACACCACACACACACACACACGCATACTCGTTCTGCCATGTGTTGTGACTCCCATTGACTTCCATTGATTTTCAGTTATTTTCAACCCTTTCTATGCCCTAAACCTAAGCCTAAACATATTCATTACCAATGCATACCTCACCCTAACCATAACCCTAATCAATTGACACCTTAGCTCTAAACCTACCCCCCCGTCAAATACACACACAGAACTGACCAGTCAGCTTGATGTAATAGCACTAAGGGGTGCCACGCCTAGTTGACCCCCAGCCTGGGTAAAGTGTCCAACCCAGCCCCCAAGCCCAACCCGCCACAGCCGTATAAGGAAACAACCAGAGCCAAACCCACACCTACGCCAAGGCGGATGGTTTGTCACACCTGACCCAAGAACGCCAGCCAGTCTGATTCCCAGCAGCCACACACCCACTGCACACACATTCCTCATACAGATGAACTGTAACAGACAATCTAAGCAAAGGGACTGAGGAGTTAGCCCGACAGGTTGCCCCCCACATCCAGGCCAGTGGGGGAGCGGGTGAAGCCAAGAGCGGCAAAAGACAGCTCAAACACTATAGAAGAATAATTTAGTCCTTAAAACTAGGTCAATATTTGAAAAACTTATGCAAAAGCTCTGCTTCAACAAAAAACAGTTTACCTTTAACCACACATTTGACCATACAATGTTTCTCTATTTTTCCTCTACACTTTAATGGCTCCTTAAATTTAATTTGCTCCTTTACTTCCCACCTCGCTATCTGAGGGGGTCTAAGCGAAACTTAGGCCATTTCTTAATATGCGTACGTGTGCATTCTCAGGTGCGCTTGCGCTCGTGAAACATTATCATCCTCAGCCCCAGCACTGTTGCAACTGACAAGAACATAAGACAGAGAATGGACAAAATTACCGGATGTTGTTCTCGCCCCTCCCTCTTTACCGAGCATGCATGAGAGCAGACCTGTGCGTTCTTCAGACTGACAGCTTTCCCAGCAATATGGCCCATTTACTGATTCCGTGCATAATTTTAAAAATGTTCAGATGCTGAGAGGACTGTGGCAACCAGTGGACTCTGAGGGTTTCATAATTATCTAGGGACTGTTAATAACAGGAAGTCAAATAAAGTTCCAGACAAGCTGTGCTTGTGGAGATATTACAAGTATGTTTCAAGGGGACAGAGACATGTATGTTCTATTTGCTCCTGTTCTTCCTGAGTCCAGGCTAGGTACACCCTGGACAGGTTGCCAGTATATCACAGAGCAACACAGAGACAAACAGGACAAACATGATACGAAAATTCACGAACACATTCACACCTAAAGAGAATTTTACAGAAGTCAATTAACAGTCATGTTTTTTGGACTGTGGGAGTACCTGGAGAAAACCCATGCATGCACATGGAGAACATATAAACTCCATGCTGAGAATGAACCCAGAACCTGCTACCCACTGCTCCACTGGGCAGCCCTGAATAAATATCTAATTTAACAATCAAATCAGATAAGTAGATCATTATATAAATGTTTATTTCAAAATATTGGAATGTCAGTTTATGGATAAAATGTCATTATATGTTATAACTTTTATAAATGATATTTATAATGAATTTAAACGTATCTCCTTAAATATCCAGTACCACAAGCTTCTCCTTGACACAAGTCCTAAAATATTTTACGTCCTTTAAGACACCATGGCATGTGAACACAACCACTTCACAGCACAGCAGAGGTTGAGATGTTGAAATGCACATTAGTTGGCATACCACAAAATAAAACAAAAATTCTATTTAATATCAGTAACTGTTTTTCAGATTCCTGGAGTGAATCTGAAATCCTTTTAGAGACAAATAAAATGATAATCTTAATACAATATGTGTAAATGCATAATTACACCTTGTACTACTAAACACAGCAGTACAATTGTGCTTTAAACATTCCCTTATGGCAGCACTATCTGAGGCACACTGGCATCTGTTTCAGGAAAATCGACTGATCTCTACCTCCATCTGCTGGATATTTGATGCAAGTGCGACATGTTTTGGATACGGTCAGAGTGCAGATGCTAGAATAATTATAGCCAGCTGGAAATATTTAGGACACAATGTCGTGACGTCGATAAGCAAACAGCTGATGCATGACTGCGATGGGTTCAACTTAAAATATCTGTCCAAAGCTGTAAACATCTCATAACAAGATGCATGGTGTTATTATGTAGCAAAGAGAAAAATATATATATATTTGAAGTGTCTTGGCACTTTGCCTTTCCGCCACTAGATGGGAGAGTGGGACAGAAAAGCAGGGGAGAATGGCGCCTTTTCCATATATTAAGGGGATTTAGTTTAATCCCTATTTTTTGATGCATGGCATCAAGCACACAACCTTGGTCTCTTGTGTTTAAAGGTACACGGCAGCCATCAGCAGTCCCCGTCTGGAGATGAGGAACCATATGTCAATCAGCGTGCGCTGCCAGGGTCCCCTTTATCTCCGCTCGGCAGGGAGGCGTATCCTTTCCCCCTCTGCGCTCCCCTTCACATACCACTCTGCTTCACTCCCTCCCTATTTCTCTCTCTCTCTCTCTCTCTCCCCTTTTCGGCTGAAACTAAACCTCAACCTGCTCCAGACGACGCCCTATAGCCCATGAGATTCCCGAGTTCTCCGCGCGCCCGTTTCGCACAAGCCGAAGCCGTCGGGTTCTCATTATAACGTGAGGCTGCGCGCGAGAGCTGGCAGCCGCGTCACCTCCACCATATCAGAAAAAAAAAAAAGAAAAATAAAGGAGGAGGAGGAGAGAGGAGGGGGTGTTTGGGGGCTTTCTAGAAATTAATAAATATTAAAACACCTAGTTTGGAAGACTTCTGTGGGAAGAAAGGGGACCTGCATCTGAGTAAGTCCTGATTTTTCTCTTTTTTTCTGTAGGTGACCTGTTTTCTGTGTTCTTTGCGGCAGCATCTGTGGCTTATTGGGACAGGATGGGATGACATAGCGCAGGAAGGTGGATGGAAGGAAAATACAAAACATTGGCGCTCTGTGCGTGTGGCCTTCTTGCGCCATGTAAACATCTTGAGCATATTTGATGTTAAAACCAACACTTACTGCGCCCTTTAGTGGGAAATAACCCTAGAATAAGAAGCAGGTTGAAATAGTGTTTGGGTGTAATATTATGCCGTGTTTTGGCTGCATGTCTTAGGGTGCATGCAAGACACGACAGGTGTAACGGGAAGGCATGTTTACGCGAACGCCTTTGATGATCCATCATGTTGTATCGATCGGCTTTTGCGAGGAAATAGGAGTGTTTGTGGGTGTCTCGGCAGGTTAATGTCTCCTTGGCGCCAGTATGGCCATCACGGCGCGGATGAGAGATGCTGCCTGTGGATGAGAGGAGAGGAGGCAGAGGGAGAAGCGGGGTATCTCTGTGCGTGTGTTGTGATGAGAGAGGTCTGCTCCAACATGGCGCGCTCCCACAAGAGCTGATAAAACCTTGGTCATTACATACTCCTATCCGGAATTTCCACTCTGCTGCAGAACAGGGAGTTATGATCCCGAGCATCTTCAGCTCAGGCGCTCCCCTACATGCTCTGTGAACTGCACGTAAACTCATGCCTGTGTGTGTTTCCCTGTCAGAGAATAACACAATGTCACTCCCATTCATTTTACTCTCTTCCTTGTTAACTTTGTTTGATCCCAGCAGGTAAAAGCTAGACCAGACAAAGCAGACTTTTTTGGTCCTTTGGTCCTTGCCAATTGTTTCTCCTTTGGAGTTCTTTGTGGACTAATCCTTTGTTGATGAGTGTATTATTGAATTTTGTTTGTACACACAACACACCCAGAACAGTTCTCGTTCTGAACATACTCTAAGCTACATTTTGTTAAATAAAATAAAAAAGCTTCCTGTTTGTGTCCCATTAAGATCTCAATTTCACAAGGCCAAGTAAGCCAAGTCTTACTCTAAAGCCAGCATTACTTATCCCCCCCAAAAATATTAAAAACAATCCACTGGACTTGGTTCCAAGTTTGAAGATGTTTCGCTTCCCATCCAGAAAACTCTTTCAAATTAAAATGTCAGGAATAGCGTTGAGTTTGAGGTTTTATACAGGAGCCCCACAAAGTCTGTTTTTTGCTTTGAAAACAGGCAAATTGGAACAGACGAAGGGGTCCACCCATTTGGAATGGGGGCCTTTGGCTTCTTTTGCAGACTGCAATACCCCATATCCATCTAACTATCTGAAAGGTCTGTTGTTAAAGGGGATGGTTGAACTGGCTGAATAGACAAGGTCCTCGGCTCTCCTTTACAGGGGTTGGGGCTGCAATGATAACGGGATGGGATTAACTCAATAGCTGCTTTGTGAGTTTTTGAAAGCTGGAAACTGATTCCACCCCCTCTGTTTAAGGTTGGTTTATTACTTATTGCATTACTTATTGTTGAGATACCAAGAAAGTATTTCATTTGGATTTTATGTGAAAGACTAACACAGTGTCATGCATGATTTTAAAGTAGAAGTAGCATTATACAGGGTTTTGAAAAGGTTATACAAAATATAAATGAAAGGCTTTGTGGAGGAATTAGTTGTGTGATCTTTCTAGCAAAACAGCCAAAGCCCAGTCAGATTAAATGAAGCCCATCTGTGGACATCTGTTTTTAAAGCTTGTTCCTGATTCTCAATTGGATTTACATCCAAATGTTTACACGTAAATATGCTTTCATTTAAATCCTTCCATTGTGCCTGTTTTTGTATGTTTAAGTTAATTGTTAAGCTGGTGAGTAAACTACAGGTCACAGCAGCCCTGATTGTTTTTTTTCCATAACATTGTACATTTTGCTCCATCAATCTTTTCAACTTACCCATCAGTGCTGAAGACGAGTCGTACCACGGTATGATGTTGGCACCACCATGTTTAAGCATGGGATGGTTTGTTGAGATTAGTCTTCAGTTTTGCATGGAGGCCAATAAGTTAAGTGACGCTCTTATCTGGAAAAAAACACCTTCTTCCATGTGTCTTTGCAAAGTAATGACTACTGCCAGCTTTCATTTAGTAACCTCCTTCCTGTTGCCAGTCTTAAATGTAGGATTTCTGAGTTTTCATGGCCCTCTTGGTGACGCCATTTGGACTACTATTCTGCTGGATTTCTTGTAGAGGAATTAAGGTAAAACAGGCCAATTACATATGCATCCCATGCATAATATTAACCTAAACCTTTCTAAACCTTTCCAACATTTGTGCAATGGAAAGTGACTACTGTGCTGCTGTAGTCAAATCTTATCATGCAGAAACCAGGCCTGTTTCTGCTCCTGTTATTTTTTTTTCTTCTGTTATGTGTTTTTAAAGCATGAACCAGACACGTTAGGTCCCCCAAAATGCCATGGCCAGTCTGAGCTTGGCGAGGGGGGGTGTCTTTATCCGGTGGTCTGCTCTGTGTTTTGTCAGCAACTCACAGTGGAGCTGACAGCACTTGTCTTGTTCACCCAATCATCATCTGGCGTCACGACTGTGGGCAGCCGCATTTCTGTCTCCGTGTGGCTCCATGTGCACCTTTGTGTGTGAGTTTTAGCCGTTAGGCAGTAAGATTGAACAAATAAGTCAAACTCGTATGGATTGTGTGGGTTTTTGTTTTAGTTGTGTGCTGATGGTTGCTGCCTGACCTGGCTGGCATGGTAATTGGATGGATCTGTTCCCATCAATTTAGATTTGGGAAATAGGCTGGTAATCGGAAGGTCACTTGCTGATTTGTATGGGCTGTCAGGGGAAAAAATGTGTATTGTGAATGAGTTCTTCAAACTTAGTACAGCTAATGGTGCTCTCTGAAAGCCTTAATGAATCTCCTGAAATAGCCTTTTGTAGTTATATGGATTATATTATCAGCCCCCAAGCTGCTTAACTTTAGTTATATAAATGTCTTTGTGACGTCTTCTGTGTGATAGAAATCATTTGTACTGACAAAGCAACTCTACTTTGAGTTACATTTTCTGTCTAGTTTATATCCTGTATTCCATTCCTGCTTTGTTTATTTAGAATATGATTGTTTCAGCTAACAATGCGTGAAGCAAGGATTTACCTTTGAACATCCCCAGACTCCAAGGATGAATTAAGGTGACCAGCTGGGAACACTCCAAGAACCACTTTGGCTTCCCTCTTTAGACCCAGAGAATGAGAGCGTACTGTATACCTCCTTTAATTTGGAATAATGTACGTAAGAGAATGACTTTGAATGGGGAATGGTTTTAGTATCCAGATGAGCTGATTTTTTTTTACTGGAGAAACTTTTAATCTGCAAGGAATTTTAGGCAAAGTGGGTCATTATCAGTTTAAAGAGAAGGGTCTGAAAAGATGAACTATCCATTGCTCCAAATGCCTTGTTGGGGCCGGAGGTCAATTGGTAGGATGGTTTGAGATGATAGAACAGGAACAAGATGGTAACCGAACAGCTTCACATGGCAAACCTTGCAACAGATTGGTTACAGCGGCCGATGACAGCACTAAGTACCACTCCTTCCAGCTGAGAATGGGAAACCAAGGCTGTAACTCACACAGTTTTGTTCAAATTTGACAATAACTGTCAGGACTCAGGATGGTGGACCCAGAATTCAGGCAGATAAACTAAAATGATTTATTAAAGTGTTTTATAAGGGGTCAGTACCAAGGACTAAATGGCTGAAACCTCTGTAAAGGGTAAAACACATTTTAGTGACTAGTAATTCTGACGGAGGACGATAACGAGAGTGTAAGTCACTAACCTGGTTATAAAGTTCAGACCGAGCCTAGAGAAAGGAGTGGAATCCAACCGGAAGATTTTCCCCAGGTCATGGCGGGAGCCGCCTATAGAGTTCCAGGAACTGAAGCCAAGAGAGCTGCAGCACCAGCTGATGAGCAGAAGCCAGCAGCGGAGGAAGAGAAGGAGTTTCCGGAAGGAGAATCCAAAGCTGGTGTTGATGAGGTAGCGGAAGTCCAGGCCAGAAGATTAGAGATCCGAATGGCTGCCGTAGCAAAATCCAAGTCAGGGTCGTGGGTCAGATCCAAGGTCGCAAGCTGGCAGAATCCAGCAGGAGTCCAAAGACAGGTCAGGCAAACTAATCAGAACAGGAGCAAACAGGCTCAGAGGACTGGAAGCAGAAACTAGTCAGGATCAGGCAATTGGAGTAACAAACTGGGTACGCTAGAGAAATAACCTGGCACTGATAGCCACTAAGGACCCATCTGCAGTCACATATATACATTCCATATGTAAAATATCCTCACTGAAAATTTGTTAAAATGTCAGAAAAAGAACATTTCCTCATTAAATGTTTTTATTTTAACTGTAAATGACCCCTAGCTGCTATTTGTAGATATACCATTTACACATTTCTGTAAACTGTGTGGCAGCTTTACAAAGAAAGTTCTCAAACATTAAAATAACACACACACACCCCCACAGACACACCCAGTCATGACAGATAAGACTGGAGAGGATTTGATTTTTTTCTTTCTGTCACTCGCTTCCTTATGGATCATCTGTCTTCTCATTTACTGTCATTTTAAGCCACTAAGTCGTTTTAATCTCTGAGGAAAACATCCTCTGCTGAGTGTGTTCGTTCACATTGTGTTTATACATTTGTGCTTAGCAGACAAGAGAGACTCTTGTGTCCGCTGGTCAAACCACGCGCACACCCACATGCTCATATGATGATCAGCGTAGTTGCTGCAAAGATCATTTCAAAAGCACTTTTGATAAGTGGCAGACAAGTTCCAAACATATTTTTATACAACTGAGCTTAAAAGGAAGGCTGTGAAAAAATATTAGAACGCTGATGTGAATGTGATATTTTTCTTGTAATTATTTTTACTTTTTTTTTTTTCTAAAATCCCAGAAGAGATTTGCTGGGGAGATCTGAGACAAACAAGCTCACT